CTGTAAGGGGATGTCCAATTGTCTGCAGATGGGCTTTGGGTCTCCACTCTGAGCCCTCTCTCATTCACATTGATATGATTTTTTTGTTCTGGGTCTAAATCTCTTACTTTCAATGTCATCCCAGGGCACCAGAATCTCCTAAAGTTCTGAGACCAGGTCCCTAAGGGCCAAACTCCCTAGGTGCACCACACACCTGTTCTGCCCAAGAGATTATCACCTGCCCTGGCTGCTGCGGGGCCTGAGGCTGAGTTCTTGATGGCCCTGAAACCACCAGCTCCCTCGCTTTCCCATTCAGGGCAAGTCACCCCTCCCTCCATCCGGGCAGAAGCCTCCCAGTCCACCACACTCTCTCCCTCTGCCTACAGAACCCATGGGTAGATGCATTTATTGTGATTAAGTTTTCCCAAAAGACAGGAAGAAAGATTGGCCTTCCAAGAACCATTGTTTATAATCCTGGGGGGGAAAAATTCCCTTGAGGTAGGATATTCGAAAAGACAGGCTAAAACAAAAAGACCAGCTACCTTTTCAAAACAGAGTAGGAGGAAGGAGAAAGGGAGGAAGGAGGCCCCAGGAAGCATAAACCCAAGTTAACATCTCAAGAAATACCTGACCACGCTGCTTTGCTTTTACCTACCGCAAACCACATCAGTGGAGAAGTGACAGCCTTGTATGAGTTCAACCTCCGTGGTTGCCCTGAGGTTGTATGTACTCCTGAGAGCGTGGTGGAGGGCGCAGACCCTGTACTGCTCAGGCTGGAAAACGGAATCAGCTGTAACCCTAGCAGACATAGGAACCAACGCTGACAGTGTTCTGAAGTGCTTTATGGGTGTTATCGCTTTACTACCTCCTCAGGTCGGCAGTCCTGTAGGTTCAAATCCTTTATCTAAAACCCTTGGAGCCAGCTCCATTTTGGAACTCAGAATATTTGGGGATTTCAGAAAGGTAATGTGTTGCATGCAATGTATAAAATGTAATCCTCCCAGCAGGGTTGTAAGTAGCCCCTATTCAAACGCGCTACAGTGATATACCTTGGTTGTCGAACTCGGTTCCTTCCAAATTGGTGTTGAACACCGAAAAGTTCCAGAACTGAACATATTTTTCCCATAGACATAGTGGAAAACCAAATCATGGTTTGTGAGGCCCTGAAATAACACTTTTAATTCATTTTTTCCCAGGACTTTAACACAAAGTTAAGAGCCTTCCATTGTGGAAATGCCCGCTAAAACATCTAAACACAGTAAATTCAGTGCATTAAATATCAGAACACAATAGAGTAAATAAAATTACGATATTTTATGAAAATAATCTACCCAAAAAAGAGCACCATGATAAATGCTTGAATTTTTATTCAATAAATCATTTTATTGGGGACTCTTACAGCACTTACAACACTCCATACACCAATTGTATCAAGCACATTTGTACACATGCTGCCATCATCATTTCCAAACATGTTCTTTCTACGTAAGCCCTCTTTTTTCCCCTCCCTCTGCCACCCTCCTACCGTCGTGAATCCTTGATAATTTATAAATTTTTATTTTCACATTTTACACCATCTTCTGTCTCCCTTCACCCACGTTTCTGTTGCTCATACCCTGGGCATGATGAATGTTTTAATGCAACAGTACAAGCACTATATGAGGGGGCTCCCCAAAAAACTAGATTTTTTTTCAAAGCTATGTATTTAAATTTCTTTACAACACAACCTTATCACCTTCAAAGTACTCTCCATTACATTTAATACATTTGTCAAATCTGCAATTCCATTCTTGGAAACAGTTTTTCAAACTCATCTGTTTGGGTGGCTGACAGCACCTCCCTCATTTTTTTCTTCACCTCTTCTATGTTGTCAAATCACTGTCCTTTCATGTTCCTCTTCATTCTCAGAAACAAAAAGAAGTCACACAGAATGAGATCAGGTGAGTAAGGTGCGTGGAGCAAGAGAGGCATGCTGGAATTTGACACACTGAGCTGGCTGCGTGACAGGAGCATTGTTGTGGTGGGAAAACCAGTCTCTTCTCTACCACAAATCAGGCCTTTTTTTGTGGCACATTGTGACACACACAATCTTTTCAGAAACTCTAAATAGAACGCTTGATTAACAATCTGACTTTTAAAAAAAACAGTCTGACTTGGTATAATGAACTCCAAAGAGTGTACATTTTCTTCTGTTTGGTTAGTTGACAGATATTCAGAATGAGGTTTGTCATCAATCAACATTTCACCTTTTTTGAAATGAGAAAACCACTTGTACACTTGAATTTTTCCACTAGTGCTTTCCTTGTAAGTTGTGTTCAACATCACAACAGTTTCTGTGGCATTTTTCCCGAGCAGGAAAAAAATTTTCACAGCTACACGCTGTTCTCTTAAATCGGCCATCACTAAAAACGAGGTTTGAGCAAAACTGCTTTTATGAAAAAATTCACTGTGACCAGAGAACCTTCTTAGGCGATGCCACTGTGTGCACTAACTCAGAGCGAGTTGCTCAATGCTTGCTTAGCAGGAAAATGAGTACTACAAAAGCTCTGTCCAGAGGAGCACTCTCGAACGGTGCTCCAAAAGGTTTTCAATGGCTCATTTTTCCCATTTTTGGGTGTTTTATTTGGGGAAGGGAGTACCCCCTTGCATGTTATCTGACGAGAGCAGTGCTTAGATGAAGCATCCCCCTTTGTGTCTGCATCGAGACTAAATGTGTGACTCACCCTTGACCCATATAGGTTTAATCATGTTAGACTTTCAGTTTGAATAATGAGCAAAGTTCTGAACACCAAGCAGAATATTTTTAGAACTTTGCTATTGGAGTAGTGGAAAGTTTGAATGATGGTCGAGGTATCACTGTATTTCTTCAACATAACTTACAGTCACACCAACTGGTGTAAATAAGCCATCCAGTGAACTCTGACTTAAGGCATCCCAGTGTGTTTAAGGCTAGAACTCTCGAACGGTGCTCCAAAAGGTTTTCAATGGCTCATTTTTTTCCAGAAGTAAATGGCCAGCCTTTTTTTCTGAGATACTTCTGGGTAGACTCAAACCTTCAACCTTTAGGCTGGCAGCCTGGTGTTCATCATTTGCACCACCCAGGGGCTCCAATGGTCTAAATAAAGACAAGTAGCTTTACCTTTGCTGAGGCCAAGTTTTGCTACTGAAAGAATTAAAAAAGCAGTTTTGGTTCTCAGGATCTTCTGTGTTGCAGAAAATTAGATACACCAAGATTAAGTGGCATATGTAAAACCTTACGGATGAGAAGCTGTGGGGATACTCAGCTCAATTAATGTGGCCCTCTGTGCCTAATTCCTTAAATGACGTCTTCCATTCTGGAATCGATGTGCCCGTAGCTGTCATCGCATCTGGGAGGGTGTTCTTTGCTATACTAATGAGCAGGATGAGGGCATTAGAGGGAAGGAGCCCTCGTGACTCAGAAACCCACAGGAGCAGCTCTACCCTGTCCTATAGGATCGCGGTGAGGCAGACTCCACCCAGGGCCTTGAGTTTGGTTTGGTTTTGGCCAGTAGAGCGTGTGAACCAAGGTATACTCCTTGTTTGCTTGGGGGCTTCTGTAAAGTTACTGCATTTTGTCTTCCTAAAATCAACACCGCCACCCCAAAGCCATACCTCTATTTCCTGATGGAGCATTTGTGGAAGCAAGATGTGCTTCTACGATGTTCGGGCAGTTTGGGCTTCTGACTCTGGACGCTGCATGTCTCGCTTCTGCACAGCCTTTAGATCAGACACAGAAAAGCATCCACCGCCACGTGAGATGTTTCCTTAAACCGCTGTCCGTTTCTGAGGGATGTGCAGCAAATCGCAGAACCCAGGCATGTGAGGGGATATACTCAAGGGAGGAGCGAGGAGGGATTAGAACAGAGTAGCATCTTGGAAGAATTGGCTATTCGGAACATCTTTCATCTCTGACTCCTTACAACTCACCCCAAACCAAACTCAATGGCCCTGGAGTCAGTTCTGACTAATGGCAACTTTATAGAACAGAGTAGTCCTGTACCAGGAGTAGAAAATCTCATGTTTCTCCCACAGAGGGGCTGGTGATTTCCAACTGCTGACCTTGCCCTTAGCAGTGCAAGGTGTACTCTACTACATCACCAGAGCTCCTGCTCCTTGGCACTAGTCCAGTTTTAATTCTCCTACAAGGAATTATTTTGGCACCTGGTGTAGAGGCCTAGAGACATCGTTGTTAGGCACCAGGCCGCTATGTAAGACTGAGAGTGGACTTGAACCTCTCAGTTGTTTCCGACGATCTGGGTCCAAGAAGAGTAAAAGCTCCGACCGCTATGGGCAGCGCTACACTGCCCTACAAGGTGGGTCACTGTGAGTCAGAATTGACTCGATGGCAGTGGGTTTGGATTTTTGCTAACGTTGGGAAGCAGACCGCCCAGTCTTCCTTCCCCAGAACAGCTGCTGAGTTAGAGCCCTGCGTCACGCTGGTCAGCAGCACAGAGCTTGAACCATTTCCAACTTTAGCATTTGGGAGGTAGGTCTGGGAGCAGTTACCAACTTCCTTCCTTGTCTCCCGCGCTGCTCTGAGGTTTAACCTCAAGGATGGCAGTGAAAGCCCGGCAGGAAGACCCGACCAGGCAGCAGCCTAGAGAGCCGACCTGAATCTTTCTCGGGCCACCAGGAGAGAACGCACCCACCTTGTCCCTTCCCCGGGAAGAGGGAACTCGTGGACCAGCAGCCACGTGCTGTTATTCCTGCAGATTGATGCGGCGGCAGTGAGCACTTTCTCGTCTTCGGGACAAAGCTGCTCCCATGCTGGCCCAGACCGGCTCGGAGCCAGCCTGCATTTCTGCTTGTTTGGTTAGAAACACCAGGCACCACCTTGACCTTGACCTAGGGATTCCATGCCTTCACATTGCTGCCTCTGCCCTCACTCATCCTTCTTCTTGGTGTGCTTGGGGCTGCTCACACTTTCTCCTCTCATCCCTACCTCTTAATTCCACTGTCGCGCCTGGATGTTTCCCTCCTCCCCGACCGTAGATCAATACCTGCCGCGCTGCACGAACTGGTTGTCAGATATAATCCAGATCAATCCATTAGTCCTACCTGCCGGGAGCACCTAGGTATTTAGGGGTGACCTGTTCCCTGAGAACAAGAGCCCTGGAAGCATCCCACGCCTTTTAAAAGATGTTTCCTGGTAATATGGGGTTAAAGAAATGTATGCTCGGTTAACTAGGTCTACAAGTCTACACGTCAGGCACTTGACCCTGAGCGAGGCTTCGATCCAAGCATCTTTCGGACAGTCCTGGGCCGGGCGCAGCGACCTCTGGCACTCAACTGGGCGCCCACGTGGAAGATGCAGGGAATATTGACTCCACACACAAATTAATCGATGTACTTATTTTAATGACACCGTCCTCGCAACGATCACACGGACGCCTAGGCGCAGCCCACAGACCCCCAACCCGACCCGCCACCACGAGTCCAGGCTGGAGCTGCGGGGCTGCAGCGCTGCGGAACCGCGCAGGACTGCAGGTCCCGGCCTTAAAGGGGAGGAGCGGTAGCGCGTTAGGGGCGGGAGAGATGGGCGGGGCCCCCGGATGACGCCTTATTCGGGGCGGGGCCTGCGGGGGCGGGGGCGGGGATTTTCCCGGCTGGGAACTGGGAGGTTGGGCGGCCGTCAGCTGAGCGGCGCTGGGCGGGGTCCCGAGGCCGCAGGTCAGCCCGAGGCTCGCGAGCCCTGCTTCCCCGCCCCTAGTTCCCGGCCTGCGTCCCATTCCGGCGTCCGCATCCGGGTCCATGCCGTGCTATCAGTGACCCTCAGAGAGGGCGGAGTGCGAGCGGCCAGGTGAGTCAGGGTCGGAGGTGGGCCGGGGTCTCGGAAGAGAGGTAGGCCCTTGGGTGACAGGCGCCTCTCCGCCCTGGAATATGTTGTCCCCACTCCTGCGACGTGGAGCCTGGGGGGTGTGGGTGGAGGGGTGGGTGTCCCCTCTCGTGGGATGGCTGCCTTGGGGAGTGTCCAGGCCCCGAGGCCTGAGGATGACCTCGGGGGACCCAGACCTGCTGTGAAGGGGCCACGGGGTGACCATCCCAAAGGGCCCTGCCCCTTCCCCCTGCAGGTCGCTGGGGCGGCGTAAGGATGAGATTCTCCCGGGTTGGGAATGATGGTGCAGCCGATTCCTAGTCCTAAGGAGGAAGTGGGCAAAGGTACACCTTTGGAAAACATCAAATCACTCGTTTTCTGAGATGGCCCAGGAACACTGAAGAATAAGTAGTCATCTCCGAGGTTGGTGGGCTTCGGAAACAGCAGAAAGAAATTGACACAGCGCCTAGGCGAGTGTGTGTGTATCTGTGTGCTCTGTGAGGTGTTGGGGGCAGTGTGTCAACTGGAGGCAGAAGAGAGAGAGAGAGAGACTGGCTAGGAGAAAGCGAAACCCAAGTGTCTGGTCTGACCTTTGCCACCAGAAAATGTTCTAGAATGATAGGCTAAAACTGGAACAGCCAGGTGGCCTTCCCACCATAAAACCCTTTGAATGTAGTTAAAAAGGTGGCACTGTTAACACAAGAGCCCACCTTGCTCTTTGGACCCAAGAGAAGAGTTGGAGAGCCCCTGGTTCAGAGAGCGCTAGCAGCAGAGGCCCAGGAGAGAGAGTTGCCCTGTAATGGACTAGGCTGTGAATTGTGGCTTGTGCGCGCATGCATGCTGTGATTGTTTTGCCTGATTTTCTCCTGGCCGAGTTCGTGGTTCTGCAAATATTGTGTATAAGATAAAAGCAACCGCTTTTTTGTTAGTGACCTTCAGGTTGCATGTTTTACCCTAGAATCAAACAACAACACAGCTTTATTTTTGTCAGGAATTGGTCATTTGCTGTATTACCTTCTGTCAGGACCCCGGGGGCTATTCTGGCCACAAAACATACCTGCTTGCCCTCAAACCTCACTTTCTCTGAGGTTGACAAAGACTTGGGATGTCTGATAGAATCGTTGGAACTTGTGGTCAGAAAACCCAAAAGAAAAGGGAGGCACTAAACTTCAAAAACAAAACAAAGCGTGTTTCATTCAGAAGAAAAAAACCAAATATTTTAAAGTGTTTATTGTATATACTTTGACGTGTCTCTCACTGCCATCGAGTCAATGCCGGCTCACGGCGGCCCTGTGGGCAGGGTAGAACTGCCTCTGTCAATTTCTGAGACTGTAACTCTTTATGGGAGTAGAAAGCCCTGTCTTTCTCCTTTGGAGCGGCTGGTGGTTTCAAACAGCAGACCTTGGGGTGAGCAGCCCAACACGTAACCACTATGCTACCGGCTCTCCTTTTGACATGTACTTACGGGTTAAATAATAGAATGAATTATGAAATGATGCCTTTAGTGATTTTAATAGTGATAGTGATTTTTAAAAGCATTTCTAGGTTTTCAAACAACCTTTTAAAGTGGAGTTCAAGAATTTGGAAAAGAATGTTTTAGAACTGTAGAAAAACTCATACTGGCTTGCTGGGTTTGCCCTTCTACAGCAGAAAATGTCTTTCGGGTATTAGATTTTAAAATACTGCATTTTTCTGTCAAATGAATCAAGGAGACAGAACATTCAAAGTGCTATTGGGGTGCTCGGCAGAAGGAACTTCCGATTTAGCATAGGAACTCAGACTTGAGCTGGACCTTGAACTGTCCAGAGACAGTCTGCCTGGGCTCCCCGTGGTGCCAGAGCAGATGCCAGAACACAGAGGGGAAAACCCGGCAGGAACTGTGCCTTTTTCTTCTTTTCTCACAGTCTATTTCATTATTGCTGGATAGCGCATTGAACAGTTGGCTACATTGAAATAATGTGTAGGTGATTGCATGACCGCAGCATTGGTAACTAGATAACCAATTGAACTAGACATCAGCTAATAAGTAACTGTCTAAATATTTAAAATACAGTTCTTGTTTAGATCAAACTTTGTTTTGATCACCTTTGGGTGGGGTGACATGGGGTTGGGTGGAGGGTGGGGCAGTGTGGGAGAGAGCCTGCTGGTCACAATGGAAATAGATTAAGGCCAAATCTTCTGATACCCATTCCCAGAGGTCTCTTTAGCTGGATTACGCCTCCAACTCCAGGGCAAGCCCCCGTTTGTGGCGTCCAGCATGAATGCTCTTCCTGTCTCCCAGAGCAGACAGTGGAAACGTCACACCGGGCCTCAGAGTCTGAGTGTAGCCCACTCCGTAGAAACTAGACCTGTTGGCTTTTGCAGACACGGAAGCAGTGGGATCCAATGATATTTAGCAACGATGCCAAAACGAGTACTCTTGGTACCTGATGCCCAAGCCAAGTTTACGGATGTGTCAAGATCTTCCCATACTTTTTGATACATTGATCTTCCTCATTCTGTCCCATCCTTGACATTAGTGTGTGGCTGGACATTCCCAGTCCTGTAGCCCACTGGAAAGCCATTCCTTGTCGGCTTTGACTGGCACTGTCGAAGGTCATCTGATAACCCGATAGCCAAAGACAGCTGAACCATGGAGTGTAGGTCCTGTAAGGTCAAAGTCAAGACCACAGCCAAGCTGTATACACTCCCTCTTGTAGGAAGACTTGATTTGACCACTTTTCTTTTCTTTTCTTTTTTTTAACATTTTATTAGGGGCTCATACAACTGTTATCCCAATCCATATACACATCAATTGTGTAAAGCGCATTTGTACATCGTTTCTCAAAACATTTTCTCTCCATTTAAACCCCCGACATTAGGTCCTCATTTTTCCCCTCCCTCCCCACTCCCCCCTCCCGCATGAGCCCTTGATAGTTTATAAATGGGTATTTTGTCATATCTTGCCCTGTCCGACTTGACCACTTTTCTTTCCCGTGTTTGGTGAGAGGGTAGTATCAGATGTCAACTTTAAACCTTGGCAAATCTGGTCTCCAATTGCGATTTCTGTCCCCAGAGAGGTGGAGAAAGGAAAATAATAATAATAATAAAGAAATGGGTAGCGGGGGCACAGGGCATATCAGTGTTCCATTTTTCTGTGAAAGTCAGACCGCACTCACACCATTTATATTTGATCTCCACAGTCCCCATAACTTTACAGGTGTCTGTTAGATGAAGCAGATGTTGAGAACTCCACACCACTGCCCGACTTGGTTTTCACATCCAGTTTCACCAACCCCAAACCAAATCCTCTGTTGAAAATACCTCTGGCAGCTTTGCCAAGGTCAGCTTATGATGGAGGAATGCACATTGACCTCACACGCAGCTCTGCCCGTAGGTCGCCATGGCATGACAGTGAGGAGTGTTCTGGTGACCTCCGGAGGGGAATCACTGTGCGAGCAGCTGAGGCCACTCACCTCACTCAAAGTTGGGCTGCAGCTGCCTCGGCTGGAGGGCAAACTCGAACTGTGCCTTTTTTCATGTGCCTCAGATGTCGCTGCGAGGTTGGCAGGCACAGATTTATGCGTGTGGGGCCCAACAGAAAGGTCATGATTGTCTTGCTAGGGCGTCACCTCTTTTAAATCATGGTTTTTTAGTAGAGGGGGAAACCTCTTGTTAGCAACGAAACCGTATGTCCATGGGACTAGAATGAGGGACTAATTGGGAAGTTAGGAAAATGCATGCAACAAATTCAACCTAAATGTGTCCAGTGATATTATATAGGTGACAGGAATATATATATAGCAGTGAACAAAATAGGCCAAAAACCGCTTCCCCTAGGGAGTGCAACATTGAGGAGTCCAGAAAAGAAAAGGGGCATGCAGAGAGAAGGCGGTGGGTTTGGGAGACTGTGCAGGTAGAACTGACTGCACGGACTTGGGGAAAGAAGTTGGCCAGAGCCACACACAATTCCTAGGCTCCCACTGTAGGAGCCTCTATCCAATGGCTTCCTATTTTCTGCAAAATCAAGGTACCACTTCTGCTGTGTAAAGTTGAGGGCTCTCTCGCCCCACAGTAGGATGCATACTCTAAATTCTTCTTTGTGGCGATTACAAGGGTAGTTGATGCAATCTCAGAATCTTAACTCAGGTTCCTTATAAATCCAAAGCAGAATTTGCCAATAGCCAACTACCATGGCTCCCTCCCAAATAGGTTTTCACTGTTGAAAAGCAATCCATCCCTGTAGCAATTCATCTAGCACAGCGGTTCTCAACCTGTGGGCTGCGACCCCTTTGGGGGTCGAACGACCCTTTCACAGGGGTCACCCGATTCATAATAGTAGCAAAATGACAGTTATGAAGTAGCAACAAAAATAATTGTATGGTTGGGGGTCACCACAACGAGGAACTGTATTAAAGGGCCACTGATCTAGGAGATTCGGAGAATGGCCTGTGCCAAAGTAAAGGCCTAGCCTGATTATTTATCCTTCCCCCAGGCCCATTGTTCAGTGGTAGGTGTCAGTAGAAGGCAGGTTCCCAGTGGACAACCAGTTAGCACTGGCTCAGATATCTCAGGCTGCTTTAGCAGAAAGACCACAGCAATGGCTTTCACGGAGAGAAATCTGTGTGCTCACAGTGGAAGAGGCTAGAAATCCAAATCTAGACTGCTGGCTCTAAGCACACCTTTCTCTCTCTGTCAGCTCTGGAGGAAGGACTTTGGCTCTTCAAGCTTGTGTGCCTGACCCATCTTTGTGTGACTTGTCCTCTCACCCCAATCTCGGCTTCTTTACATCACAAAAGAGATGACTTTAAGGTTGGCCCTATACTGATCCTGTCTCAGAAACGTAGCAAAGACAACCTATTCCCAAGAGGGACAATAACCACAGACATAGAGGTTTGGACTTAAACCATGTATTTGGGGTGGGGGTCAGTTCAGTATATAACAAGTGTCATCCTGTAGAGAAACAGGCAGTTGCCTGGTGTGGTCGTTACTCATGTCTTCTGCCA